CGACAATGTGAAGCCATACTTGCCCAAGTATTCTATTTTATCAGAATATTCTGGGTTTCATTCCACCAAAATGATTGCATTAGGAATTTTTGAATTGGATTGCGTACTGATATTAATGATATTGATCAAAGGGGCCGTTAGAGCGTTGCTTTTTGTGTTTTGATATGGCCAGAGGCCGAAAGCAACATACTCTAATATTTTGTTTTCGCTTCTCACACCTAAATGTTATAATTATATGGTTTTTATAATTTTTAGAGTAGAAACCTAATAACTTTAGGAATTTGAAATGTTTTTAAATGATCCTTTTCCTTAAAATGAAGGAGTTCTTGGAATCCTATACTAAAGTTCTTACAATTATACCAGTTAGATAAGAAGCGGGCTCCAGTGAATGTTCTACCAAGCCTCTTTCTGTATTCCTCCCTAAAATATTTACAGCACTGAAGGAACAACTTCAGAAGTACTGTACAATAATACATACAGGGGTATACATGTATCTCAGATGTGTATACCTAAAAACTCTAAGGAAATTTTAGAGAATTCGAAATCAAAACATTTTTACAAAATCAATAGCATCAAAATGTACGACTTTTCAACACTTTATACGACCATTCACTAGAATGAATTTTGAGTCTAGAATTTTTTATTAAAAATATCTGACATCAAAATGAAAACAATACTCACCTAGATTCAGGGAAAAATACATAATATATGCATATTTATCATTTGTATTAAGAGCATAAAAAATGAATGAATAGAAAATCATCTACAGCTAAAAATAAAGTGTAACCTGGAGTCCTTTTTCTTTTGAAATAAAAACACAAAAAACATATTCACTCCTACAAACAGATACAGTCTGGTATTACATGTACCATATGTTTTACAGTAGTCTCTTTATTGACAGAATAGTTTTCGTATGACACATTTATCCTCCGATTTATTCCCCTTGGCCCCATCTTAGAGGTCAAACTTAATGAATTTTTCCTCTTTAAGCAGCAAATTTAAACATGCATGGCAAAAATACGAGGAAAAATTCTTTGCAATATTGGCAGTACGTCCCAAAGAATGCTTTCGCAAAAATATAAATATTTGTAAGAGAAATGGACGACTAATAAATGAGTATCATACTCTTTTTGTCCATGTAGCCTTCATTGGTATTGTGAGATTTTCTGGTCCAAAGCACAATGTATACTCTATGTATACATGAATTGGTTGTGGAACATCGGAAATGAAAGTTATCCATATTTGTTTCTTATTGTATTGACGATGAGACATTCTTCTGACATTTCCCTTGAATCAATTTTAATTTGATATACATTTCTGGTTAAGCAGGAATGAAAACCTTTGGCCCTACATTCTGGAACATTTAATACAGTACATCGAGATCATCAAATTATGATATTGTAAAGCCTTTTTAGCACAATTTTTATGAAATTATTTTTATTTCGAAGTAATGTTTGACAGAAAAGAACCCTTTTGAATTGCAACATAACGTTACCATTGAGACGAGACAGTCATTTCGATTCTATCCTAACAAAAACTTGAATATGAGTACACTTTGAATTCTGGTTTGGACCATTAACAATGCTTTAAAACTTTATTTATATTACACTACTACAAAAAATTACAGATATTATATATCCTATTACTGATAGCTGAAGTACAAGAATCTATACAGCGACAAAAATGCAAGCACCGTAGTTTGGTGTTTCTTTCTACGTTATCCGAATCCATAATCTATTTAAATGTAACTCGTTAGGCCAATTTGTACATCACAGAAAAGAGAGAGGAATACAAGATATCTCATTATCTCGCTCCCCTTTCCGTTAATGTTCTTAACAAATAGGCAGCATGATATGGACTGTTGTAGAGCATGCAAGAAACATTATAGAGTTTTAGGTCTCCAAAGGTCGGGAACAGTGTTATCCCCTTTCAGAATATTTTTATCATTTTTCTTAATTATAAATATATGTTTTTGTTGTTGTTGTTGTTTTTTGTTTGTTTGTTTGTGTGTTGTTTTTTTTTTTAATTTCTCCTTTGTCATTTTAAAATCAGAACGGTAAACTTTTAATATGAAGTAGGTCATGGAAAGTGTTTTTAAAACCTTTTTTGTTGGATAAAGCAGATGCCATTTCGGAAAACATACAAATTTATGAACAGTACTCAAACTCAAACAATACGAAACAGGATCAGAGCAAACACAGACCTCCAGAACATCAGAGGTGGGAGCAGGTGCCATGGAGGAGTGATCATCCCCTGTCGTCCGGTCATATCCGTCATGTGCTCCTTGTCATGCTTGTGAAATAACCAAAAAATAAATTAAATGTTTAAATAATGGTCTATCAATTAGTATTAAAAACGTCCATAAGCATTTGACTTAATGATAGTTTGTATTTGCTGACAGTACCATTGTATCGATTGTAGAACTTGCAAAATGATTACTTTAAACGAGACTGTTGATATTCTTGTTTAAACAACTTGTTTGTCAATAACTAATTCGTATTAAGAATTGTTCGTATGAATCTAGCATATACTAGTGTATCTATATAAACTCCTTATGCAGGTGAAAAGCTAAGGAAATATTGCTAAATAAGTAAGGGAAGTCGACGATTGAAAAAGAATTTTGAAGTCACTTTTGTCATAAAGCTATGTTGTAAGGCAAACGTCTTTTTTTAACTAATAAAATACCTAAGTTCAGACGTGTCAGAATCTGTGGGATCTTATTTCAAGCTCCCTGTGATATATCGCTTTGAACAACAATTGAATAGAAAACTATTGTAAAATTGATAATACAGCGTCAATATACTAGTATCTAATAAATGTTCTTCTTTGTATAACATTTTAAATAATTTCTGCTTCATATGAATACAATAATATGTCTGCTTATAACGGGTCGCAAAGGTATCAATGAGAATTCCAACAGATTATTGAAAGACTTGGTCTCCAAAAACCACATAGATATTTACAATCAAGACTTAAGCGTTTTATGATTTTGGTAAAATTTTGTGATTTCAAATTTTCTGAAAGTTCCTTAGAATTTTTAAAAGAATCCACCTTTACACCACTTTTCGAATATATTGATGCACAGTACTCCTGAAGTTTCTCCTTCGCTGCTGTTTATATTTTAGTGAGGATAAAATAAAGAGGCTTGGTAGAACAATTACTAGAACCCGCTTTGTATCTTTGTAAGGATTTTTATGAAGTTTAGGAATCCATCATAGATATGGTAATTTAAATTTATATTGGTTGTCCGGGATATTGAAGAAATATTCATAAATAAATTTGATATTTAACGAATTAGTTCTTCCTCAGAACTGAAGCTATGAGTATAACACATAATGCTTTTATAGTTTAACCATGACAATTACTACAAAAAAATTTCTCTGTTACTTTTTAGCATTGGGCATAATAAATAGGATATCCTTCATAAATTCTCTTAACCAAGTTTTCGCGTCTGTTGTAATATTTTAAACTACTTTCAAAACACCAAATTAATATATCAATATTTGACCATACATTCAGAGATACTAGTAAGTAGTGCCAGGAATATTTTTTATGTGAAACTTTCTGAAATATGCTTCTATTAAAAGCATTAGATAAGTCCTTTTCTTTCATTTCCTATATTATTATAAACTTACGCTTCAATTAAGGCGCGATTTTATAGATCTCTTGGGCGTCTTATATCTACGCTCTGTTGGAGAAACTGTTACATTAAATACTAAAAATTGCGCTATATAGCTTTATTTATGATATTCATTCCATTTCTCCACTGTTACAAACTACTAGTATATTTTGACTAAATCAGAAGCAAATCACCATCGCTTTTATATATAACCCCCTTTTAATAAATACAAATGATAAAATAAAGGATATTCTTAGCATAATTTCATTCATACAAATGTACTTAACTGAAAAACTGACCTATTTTTCTTGACTGCAATCCTTAAAATTTTAATTGAAAATCATTTTCTGTTTTTCAATCACAGCGTCTTTTGCTGGCGTCATATAGTCCCTTGGGACACCGTGCAGACGAGCAACGCACACGTAGCTAAATTTGGTTTGTTTGGAAAAGTACTATTTTAAATGGCTATCAAATGTCTCCGTACTTGTAAATTAGTTATTTTACCACGATTAAGAGTGATTTTTTCCCTAGACATCTGTGCATTTATTCTCTGGAGAAGAGAATTTTATTTTCCAGACTACACACAACTAAACATAAACTACCTTTCTTTGTCAACAAGCAAAATGAAAACATTTTCAATCTTTTTTTTTACCCAACTTGTACAAATATCCCTCCTTTCCACCTATTAAGTTCTGAATATTGGACATAAAATCAACATAGATGAAAGAATGCACTCAGCATGGCATTAAATGAATTCATCATCTATAAGTCAGTTTTACACATCCAAGATTTGTAATCTTATAAATTTTCCACAAAAGCTGAAACAAATGACAAGAAAATCAGTTTAATGCTCTTTAATGGTTCCCTTATCACGTTATGTATGGACATCAGAGGCAATCAATAATTAAAAATCAAATTATAAAAGCTTGCCAGCGTCTTGTTTTTCAATAGCTAATTCAACAAATCCGTGATTTGTGTAATCTATGACAGTCAGAAGATGCATTTTGTTTTATTTTCTGCAGTTCTGTTTTAATGCATTTGTCATCACTTTGTTGTTTTCTCATTAGCTAGTTAATGAACTGCAAAATTAAATAAAATGGGCCTCAATGGAGGCAGTGCTGCATTCAAGATCAAAGTCAATTGTTTACACTAAGAGTAATCTATAAAATATTTTTAATGATCAAAATCAAGACATTTACCGATAAAATCACTTTATCATTGTTTTATTCCCTTGACACAAAAGAATTCATTAAACTTTGAAAAACTTTTTTAGTTATACATCTCTAAAAACTGAAGAAAAATTGTGTACGCCTTTCTTGGTTTAGTTGATATTAAATGCTGGTTGAACTAATACAGCTTGTAATTAAAGAATAACACAAACTTTAGATTCAATATTTATTAACATTTCATTCAAATGCATCAATTAACTTGATTTAAATAAATTCAAGAGTTCATTGCAGGTCTTACCAATTTTTTTAGCTCAATAAAATTAATTTTATATTGGGTTGAAACCCATCACCTTTTCTACTTTGTGTTAATGAAACTAAAAAAAATCATAAATAATATATATCTTATAACAGAAAAATATTACCATGTTACATTTTTTTTCAAAACAATCATCTTCAAGTGATTATCATTTTTAAAATAAATTGTGAAATATCTACTGCATTATTATAAATAAAATCAAACATATTAATTATACATGTACATTTAATATCTAAGAATGTAATATGAAATGAAAGGGGTCTTGTTTGATCAAATATGTTAATTAATGGATTATAATATTGCACTAAAAATCTACAGTAAATCAAAAGCAAAATGAACATCTTTTAAAGCAAATAGATGATCTAACAAAAATAATTATTACCCATTATTAATTTAATCAGAAAGTAATAAAACAGAATGACTAGCCTACTAACAGATATACGTTCAAAATAAATATATACTCTCCATTTAAAGATTTTACTTCACATATTCATTTTGCATACATTTCTGGTTTGCACATTCATCATATATGTATATCTGGTAATTTCTTTATCAATTTCTAAATTATGAAGAAATCAGAAAAACCCAAAGTTTACAAAGAATTTGTAGAGATGATTTGATTGTTACAATTGATAAGGAAGATTCACTGATACAGTTCTAATACTTAATTTTTCAGAATTGCATTGTAACACTGCCATAACTTTATTTTTTCTTTTTCAACCAAATATTCTTTTACAATAATTATGATTTGATGACAAACCAATACTTGATAACGACTTTCATAATAACAAATCTTACTTGCAATAGTGCAACCTGAACTTATATAAGCATCACAAGAACTTATAATAACACCAATGGGTATACATAAATCATGGGAATAACATAGTACGATATTCAAGACATCAAACAGGCTACATGTTTATATACATAACAGAAAAACTCAACAACATATTTGTTTGGCTTTATACATGTTTGATTAACAACTAATTATTTGGCAGTAAATACAGAAGCTTGGGAAGCAATATTCTGATGATTTGGATATATATTGGCAATTTTTCTTTAATTTCATTTTTAGTCAAGATAAATTTAAAAAAAAATAAAAGTAAGAAAACAAAACTGAATTGAACTTTACACATTCATAGGGGGAGGGGGTATGACTTTATAGTCAGAGGAAAAATTGGTTTCAACAGGAAAACAGAACTCTATATAACACTTCAAAGAAGAAAAAAATATGAAAATTTGAGATATGCCTACTGTGCTATCTAGAGATAGATACTTTTGTGACCTCAGTGTATGGACTAAATGACCACAGTACATGAAATGATGCAAGGTCACTTATATTGACTTATTTTCATTAATTTAGTGTGTCCATGTCATATAGTACTCACAAAAATTAAATTCGTTGCAAATTTTATGGCTTTAGAGGGAAATTTGGCATGAAAAATAAATAGTTCAATTGAAAATGAAAATATAAAAATATGGCTAATATTACAGACAACTACTTTGTAAATAAACTTGTTTCTTTAAAATAAGTATTCTAAATTTTGATTGAAAACCAAATTCCTTCAATATCAAAATAAAGAAAGAAGTTGTACAAAATTAAAATTTATAACTAACCAATTGAAAGATGTTGTCTTTAAGTATGGCAAAGTCCCACAATGAATGATTGTGTGAATTCTTTAATGCACATTTGTGTAAGTTTGATCTGAGTAAGATATTCAGTTACTTGGGAATTGACTTGCTAATATTTTTTTTTCTGTTTCAACACCTGTAGAATGTAAGATTCAGCATCCAAACCAAGTCTGAAGTGTGAATATAGGTAAATGAACATGTATCATCCATTTTTCACCAATACATTGTGTTACTTGAAAAACGAACCTCCTCAAAAAACTTGAAAATTAACCTCAGGTCCAAAAATTATTTTTGGGAGATTTTTTTGGCAAAAATTCAGATGCTGAAACCTGATTGGTAGAATAATACTTACAAAATGTGTTGCCCATTGTTTTTGATTTAAGAAACCTATTCCAAGTTTCTCATGTGATGCAGGCGGCATTACATTAGTTCCCCCAATATCACCAATGTGTGCAAAAAAGAGAATTTGTTGGCAATATATGGATTTGGAAAACTATGGTCTATAAATATCAGTGCCACACTGCAAATGACACTTTTGTTTTGAATACATAGGTACATATATTACAAGCACTTACAGTATGTTGTACAATATTCAAAGTCAACAGCATTTACACAAAATGAACAAAATTAATTCATAAACACATACAGGTATATCAAAACATACTCACATAAAAAAAATAGATAAAATATTTTTAAATTAACAAAGATTGTAATAGTTTATTTGCTAAAATCCAACCTTCCTTTACACCATGAGCAATGTCTGCTCTTTCTTAATGAAAGGAAAATATGGCTACAGTGCACACACTTTATTGCGAGTTGTGAACAAAATTTTTTTTCTTGTGTTTGAATTGACCTACTAAAAAATATGGATTTAGTTTTTCTTATCCTAGGCCTACTGACAGTTTGTAAATACATTCAAAATCAATAGCATTTTAAAAAAATCTTGCAAATTGTGGATGTATTTGTAGAAATTAAAAGATACCAGATAATCAACTGACAAAAACCATATACCTATAAGAACATTACAATCATAACTCATCATGTTTTACTCGTGGATCTTGCTTCAAGTCCCTGTCTTTCAGAATGTCTACAAAATGTTTCTTCAGCACTGACTGAGACAGCTTCTCATGTGTGTGAGAAAACAACAGTTTCTGAAGAAGACTAGCTTTCCAGACCTTCCTCTGTACCGCCCTGTACCTCACCCACAGAGACCTCAGGGCCCCCTCTGTCACCCCCCTCCCCTGGGCTCTCCTCTGGAGCAGGTGGTTGAACCTCCTTTTGATATTGCGGTACCTCGCTCTGAGGTGCGTCATGACAAGTACAACCCGCCTCCTGTTGTGATTGACACATTTTCTGCTGCAGAGGTCCACCACTGTGTCTGTTTTGACTTCACTGGTGGCATGAGATAAAATGAACTTGATCAGGTTGGGAAATGTCTTAGAGACACTGGATGGAAATATCACACTGTCCTCCTTCCTGCAAGAGAAAAAGAAATGTTAACAAAATCATCAAAAAGCATGTGTAAACACTGCATGAACTACATTCGGCATGTTGCCTGTACAGATTTCTTGATCAGTGGCTGTTCCATCAATGAAACAGTTCTCATCATTAATACAATAATTAATCTTTTTAATCCTACTTTAAATATTATTTAAACAGATATAAATATAAACAATAAAAGGACTGGCTATTGCAGAAAAAATTTACATTTCATTTTTTCTGCAGAAATTTATAACAAACAAAGTAGCATGTCTGTAACAAAATCACAAAAACATATTACAGGAGCTGGAAGTCAAAGCAGAATTTTATAGTACATGTCTGTACCACACATACATGTATTGGCTGCATGGTAGTAAGGAAAGGTCATCTTCTACTCTAAGACACTTTTGACTCTTATTGTCAATACACTGTACATGTAATTTATATCACCTTTCAATGGAGTTGGAGGGTATAAGTAACACATGCACTTTTGTGTGTCTGCAAGTTTGTGAGTGTGTTAGTTTGTCCTGTGTGAAACAGACGTGACATACATGTAATTTGCGACGAGATGAATGCATGGTCAATGATGCATCTTTTTTTGAGGGATTGATGCTCCATTTTGCAGTGCCCTTGTTTATATTTTTCCCCAAATGATTGAAAATCCATAAAATAGGTTGTTAACAGATTGAAATAAAGAGGATACGTTGTGATGTCGTTATCAGTCCAACTATTTTTTCAGTTACCGGGTAATATAAAATAGAAATTAATGTATTAGTATGGTAACCCTTTTCAGAAATCTACATAGACATGAAAAGCTTGCTGAAAATGATATCATGTTTAATGCTGCTTATAGGATACAAAAGATAAAAATACTCAGCAAAACAAGTTGTCATCATAAATCTATTCATATCAGTTACAATGTTGCCTTCATAAAATATCTGAAATAAACATCTTACAACATTGTCTACAGTCCACATATCGAATTCAAGCGATGTTCTGTGACATGACCTCATAAAAACTTATCCCTTTATGAAACATCTATCATACTTATCCCCAGATAAAGGATAAATCCTGAACAGATTATGGTCCAATCTTTGCTAACCCAAATTTAATTGTTCTGCGGGGAAATGGATGCTGGTAGAACATGACTGAGAGATATGCTGTTTGCTGATGTATAACTGTGTCTTCTGGCTCCCCTTAATGACGTCTCTTGCGAAAGGAGAGTCTCATGTGTATTCCTGATTGACCTTTCATTGGATAGCATTAAACGGAATTTTTACTTTAAATAGGTCAAATATTTGAATGACTTTTCTGGCTTAAAGGAACAGTACAGACTAAGAGATTGACTGCTCAGAGAGTAAGAACAAGATCATACATAGCATCATTTCTTGGACTAAAATGAAACCTTTCAAGAACAACTGATTTAATGCAATAGCGATACATTGCTTTCTTCATATATTAGCACATAGTAAACATTTTAAGTGACCTCCTAAAATGTAAACTAGGAGAAATACTGTGTTAAAATTGTCTAGTTCTACTTCATCTTTAGAAGAAGATAATGGAGTTTCTATGAAAATGAAATATTTGCAGGAAGAGGTTATTTTTACACAGGATGATGGACTTTTCCTGAGTATGAAATATCTGCAGTTAAAAGAGACTTGGCCGCAGAAAGCAATTGAGACCAAACCATAGCCGACTCCCCCTACACCAAATCATTAATGTGATCTGAATGCTATAGGCAGCATTAATAAAGCACCTCAAATACCAATTACTTCCAAATATCACCAGACTTTTATGCCTCTATGTAATTTTCTTGGGGAAAAACATAGCCATCAAGCATTTTCATTTAAAAGGGACCTTCGCTATCAAGCAATTGGGGGGTATGATGGTGCATCTTTGCTCAATGCAAGATAAAATCAAGGAATATTATAATCTGCCATTCTGTTGGGAGAATGGGATAGTAAAAGTGCAGATGACAACTAGCAGTTGTGACAAACATGGGGCTCCAAGCAGTTGCAGATATATCTCTTGACAATTTTCAGTCATTCCCAATCTAGATGCAGCTTGGAATGACAAGACTAATTCTAAGCAATCTTCTTCTGGGAATTGAAATGAATTGAAATTAAATTTCAGTGGTAATTTAAAAGACCATTCCTCCATTGGCTGGCACCACACTGGTGAATTTGCTTTGTGATATCAGAGGATTTAAACATTAACTGATTGCCAATCAAGTCTTATTGCTCATCCCAATTTGCTCTGGTGAAGTAAACAATATTTATAGACTACAACAACACAATACAAGTATACCCAACAAAATTCCTCTGAGAATGTACAATACTTCATATTCTACTATCAGTAAACATGAATTATGCATGTATAAAGGAATTAGCAATACTGTGCCAAGTTTCATTTAAATTTGTATATCAGTCAATTATTGGTCTAAAAATCGCCGCATCAAAAAACACTGCGCTGACTGACACATCTCCTTCCAAATTAAGGCGCAACTATAGAAAGCAACTTCATTTGCACAGAAACATAATTTTCTCCACAATTTAGATTATTTAATTCTCTAAGCTCTCTCATCGATAAATATATCTAAACAAGAAAAATATCAAATTGAGAAATATCTACTTCCACAGATAATGGGTTTATCACTTTGAATACAATTTTTAATAACTCAAAAATCCAATTATATGAGAAGTGATGAAGCTAGAGACGATGGAATAGATCTGTAGGCTTAAGACACAAGGCAAATTCTAGTCTGTCATGTGTATAGTAATTGACTTGTCAAAAATGAAGATGAGATCGGCACAAACCAGCATTGTGGAGCAAGAGTCACAGAGGAAAACACATCTATACATGACAATTTTTCATCAAAACTATGCCATAGAATTAACTAATTCCTCCATTGTCTCAAAGATGTATAATTAATAAGAACAACTATTCTCATATCAGTACTAATGCAGATTACATATATAACTGTCCATTTTGCAAAGTGAAGAAAATGAGCAAACCATTTGTGACCCTGTGACCCTTGTCACAGTTAATATACTTTCTTTCATATCATCATTTTCGAGATATTTGGAAAGAAGAAAAACAATAATTTTATTAATTTCCCCTCCTCCAGTCTCTAAATGTGTCTCCAATATCAAGCTGGTGAGAATGCATACACATTATTTTCACTGCCAGAAAATTTTCTAGCTATTGCCCTCTTTAATCATGCTTTACTAGAAAGCCATTTCTCATTTCTGCTAGGGAGCCCTCTTAATATTCTGCTTTAGCATTCATAAGGCCCCAAGAGACAGAGGCAATGTGGCAACACAAAATTTAACACCACCATTTTTGACAAGGCTGCACAATTTGAAGTTTCCCATGGCAACTATATTCATAATCTTAGATCAGTCTTTTCTTATACTGAAATAACATTGATATTTTTAGATATATAGACACTGAAATGTCTAATCTAATTCTCACAGTTTTTTTAATATGTTTGTGATCATAAAATGAAGGAAAATTTATTCTGAATTTGCAAGAAAATTTTCAAACAATTTTTGTGTTATATCAAAAAAAACTATAAAGTGCAATACAACAGCAAAGAACTATGAACTATAGTATTGTTCTGCAGCCTACTTGTAAGTTTTTTTTTCATATTTGAATGAAATTTCATATTTACATGCATGTTTAATTTTAATTAAGCTTAACAAACAGAAAGATTAAAAGGTCATTAATCTACTTACATGCATATTTGAAAACTTGGTAATGTTATAAAATAAACCAGAACTTAAGCATGAATAGTCTGATGAATATTAGCCCTCAGATTATTGAGATATGGCTGATATTTCAAGTAAGAATTTTGAGATATGGGATATATTTCAAATCAGATTATTGAGATATAATGGTTGGTATTTCAAATCAGATTATTGAGATATGGTTGGTATTTCAAGTCATATTACATATATTGAGATATGGCTATATTTCAAGTCAGATTGTTGAGATATGGTTGGTATTTCAAATCTGATTGTTGAGATATGGATACACATGTACAAGTATTTCAAGTCAGTTTATAGAGATGTGGTTGGTTTTTCTTTTTACATCAGATTGTTGAGATATGTTTGATATTTCAAGTCATACTATTGAGATATTACTGACATTTCAAGTCAGATTTTGAGATATGGCTGGTATTTCAAAAAAGATTGTTGAGATACATTGGCTGCCCGTACCAAACATTCTAACAAATGCTCATGAGCAGCTCATGAGACTCACATGAGAATCAAGTAAGAATTGTATGCAAATTAGGTAGAATTGGATTTTGCTCATGTGCAGATTGTTAGTCTTTGTTAGGGAGGAAAATACTAACCAAAATGCACATGTGCAAAATTATGCTCACCTCAATGCTCATGAGCAAAAGTCTATTCAATTTGCTCACCTAAGAACAGCCTAATTTAATATATAGCATTGGTAGTGATTTTTCTAAGTTCAGTTTTCTCACGTGAGCAAGAGGTGAGGAAATTGGACATAGTCAAAATTCAGTATTACAAGTAGAACCAAAACCAAAGAATTACAAGTCTCAATTCCTCATGTGAGGCTCACGTGAGGAAATACAATACTTTGACACTCTATGTGGTCCAAGCTTTCCCAAGCCTTTATTACAAATTGACCATGTGTTAAGTGTTAACACTTCCTGATGATAGCATCACAAATGATTGGGGACCAGGCAGGAATATCTTAATTTCTTGAGCTTCTAATCTTCATATTCCCATCAATTTGAAAATGCTTTCCTCTACTTAAACAACCTGTTGTGTCCCCCACTGTTACTTAAGGTGGGGCAGTATCCAATGAGGAGAGCCAGTTAGGATTTGTGCGCCTTCTCAGACCAGTTCAAAATTTCAATACAAAATGTTTGTGGGGGACATTGAAAGTATATGGATTAATACAGTGTCAAGAACTGAAATATGCTTTTGGAAATACATGTCATCAACACATTGAACTAGATGCCA